AGTTGTTAAGTAGATATAACATCTTAGATGAATGTTACATCGTCGATAAATAAGGAAGATGTCGAGTATGCCCTATGGATACGTTAGAAATTTGAGTGAACGAGTTTGTGACGACTTGTCTCATATTGATGGAACATGGAATTTGTGAGCTTGTTAACTCATTTAAGTCGGACGGGGTGAGAGTTGTACATGACAACTCGTCCCATGTAGATTCAAAAAATAAGATATGTGAGCTCGTTATAACTACCTGCTTATGAGTTACTAATAATTTTCACCATTAACACCACAAGGGTGGTGCCTGATTGGTTTGAGTTTGGCTCCAAAGGTCAAAAGTACCAGGAGGTCTCAGGTTCAAATCGAAAGAGAAATAAAAATCCCCTTGTGGCCACGGAGGTTCAAATGTGGTGACTCGGACTATCTGCAAAACAGGTGGTCACCCTGGATCAGTCGGCTCGCATAGCGGGTTGAATATCCAGGTTATTAAAAAAATTCACCATTATTTTAAATTTATTTGAAGGTTACTGATTCAACTTGTTGTTTTTGGCTCAGTACAACAAAATTAAGTTTATAGGACGCCACCAATTTCAAAGCGTCGTAATATAATGCTTCATAGGACTCAATTTATAATATCAAAACAAAAAGGGTCATATCTAAAGGAGTTGTAATAAGTTTATAGAATGTTTTTTAGCGTCTTAACGAGTTTCTTAGGACACTTTTAATACAAAGCATCATATAAACTCATCTTTTTATAGAACACTTGTTTTTACAAGACATTTTTTTCAAATAATGTCCTATAAAATAGTTAATATAACGTTTGTATTAAAAGTGTCCTAAAAAACTTATTAAAACGCTCAAAAACGTTCTATAAGCTTATTACAACGCTTTTAGATAACACTCTTGAGTCCTATAAAACAATCTATTATGACGCTTTGAAATTGATGGCGTCCTAAAAACCCAATTTTTTTTTATTAACCTGGATATCCAACCCGCTATGAGCCGACTAATCCCAGAACGACCACCTGCTTTGCAGATAGCCCGGAGTCACCGCATTTGAACCTTCGTGACCACAAGAGGATTTTTATTCCTCCTTGGATTTGAACCTGAGACCTCCTGATACTTTTTGACTTTTGAAGCCAACTCGAACCAATCAGACACCACCCTTGTTGTAATAGCTTGAGGGAACACCAGAGGAACAAATTTTGTTGTCCCAAAATTCCTTGTGGCCCTCCTTGTCCACGAGTTATATAAAGCCACATAATCCATTTATTCAGAAGAAAAATAAAAAAAATGTGAATTAAATCAAATAACGACATGTCTTTAATTGATTGGTCGAACAAGAAAAGGACGATAAACTTTAGGATAGCAGTGTTTTTTCTTCCAGGCAATACATAACACTGGTTACTAACAACACAGCGATGTGAGGGATAGCGATATTTTCAAATGCATTTTCATTTTTGCATGCTCTATAATGATACATAAACTTATACATCACTGAACAATACGACAATCTCTACAAAAGATGCTCAACACAATAAGTCAAACAGAACGCCCAATTAAGATTACCTTAATCATATGGACCCTCTACAGACAACAGTTAACAATATTCTACTTTAAATAATCATCTGTTAAGATATGATTCTCCATCCCAACATACAAATAAAAAAAGGGTCACTGACTCCCTACATAAAGCAAGTCAATCGGTGATCATAAATCAACGTATTTAATAGAACAGCCATGAGTTCGATGATGGGTTTATTCAATATCGAAAGATTTTCCGTACTAAAAAATAAGGCCAAAAACGTTATGGAAAATAATATTTAAAACCAAAAAGATGGTGACATGATGGTGTTTGTAGTTTTTTCAAACAAATGATACCATAATTCATGGTTATAATCATCAAAGTTCCATGTGAGGGCAGATATATCCAAAAAAAAAACTAAGTGTTTCTAGAGAGACAATAAAATATTTGTAAGGCCACAGTTTCAAAACGTGCTTCTTATACATTGTTTTACTTTATAATAATGGACTCATCTACTACTTTATATTTATATATATATATATATATATATATATATATTATTACATATTGTATATTATATGTGGAAATAATCAAATCTAGATCGGGGAGTCTGGTGTATCTGCCCTGATGGGACTGGGGATTCATCACGAAACTGGGGACGGGGATGGAACGGTTACGTAACATGGTCGGGGCCCACCCCGCCTCTGTATCTTAGATATATTTTATATATTTATTATTAAATATATTATTTATGAAGAGTTAGATTTGATATCTTTTATATTATGATATTTTGATATTTTCTTCATATATATATTTTTGTCGAGTTGTCTTGCTTTTTTTAGATAAAAAATATTGAAAGTTGAAAGCGTTTGATCAAACAATTGTGTATGATGTTATGATTTTGTCCACTTATGAATATTTGAAAATTCATAAGAGCAAATTTTGAAAATATGTGAGATTTAAACATGGGACATTATTGATCGAATGTAATGTTTAACATATCTGATCTAAAATATCTCACATTAACAGGGGGAAAAAGTCTTTGATTCGTTGTTGGGGACAGAGATGGGGATGTAATCGTATTCCACAGTGGGGACGGGGATCAGGGATTGGGTCCCAACCCGCTTTCTTCATTGTTTGGGCCTAATTCAATTAATTCTTCTACCGGAAACTGGTTTTGACTTGGGCTTCCACCAGAATTGACTAAAAGAGTTTCAATATAATATATTTACTAAATGAGTTTCAAATTGATTATTATATATATTATAATATTTGAATTTTTAAAATAAAATTAAAAAAAATCTATTATTTATGATTTTAAATAACTATTATATATAATATAAATAAAAATAAAACTGATC